TGGGGGGTGGGGGGCAGGTGTGCTCCGTGATGAGGAAGCTCGGCTTGAAGACACATCCCAGGGGCGTTTCTGGTCCCCACCTGTCATTTTGCTCCTCAGCATGTCTGCCTAAAATTTGCAGGATTTCTCAAACATGCATGAATGAGTCAAAGCAAGGCTTTGGGCATGTTTTTTTATGAGAGTATAACATTATAACATAACACTCAAAAAATTGATTTTATWTGATATTGCCCCTTTAAAGATTGTCAATCGGCCAAAATCTCAAAAGTGGAGATAAGAAAGTGGTTTTGTATGGTGAAGTCRATCTGTAGATATGTGTGGAGTGTTAACCGATTTGTGGACAAAAGACTGGGATCTAATCGGGATAGATTTGTGAAAAAAATAACGGTGGATCAGAGTTTGTTTTTCTTTTTCTGGAGTGTAGACTCCAGTGGGAAGGAACCTCGTGCAGTAAGTGGGAGGGGTTTCCCTGATGTGTCTCAAACGAAAACGAATGCAGAACCACGTGACTGTGCATCGGCTGTTCGGCTTTGGTTGGAGTATGTGGAGGCCTTTTCTTTCACTGAGCAGTTTGACTAGATAAAAACATAAGATGCCACGCCATGTCACAAAATAGTGCATCAAACCAAACTTGTACAGACGCTAACAGTTGGATTTGTAAAGAAAAGCAAAGTTTTACCTCTTTCACAGGAACGTCCGAGGTATCCAGTCCCGGAGCAGTCACACACGTAGCGATTCCAACCTTCTCTACAGATCCCATTGTTTTGACAAGGGTTGCTCAAGCACTGTTTAGGAGGCTCTTTAGAGCATGATGGTTTGACCCCAGCGGCCTTCTGGACCTCTGCCAGTCGTCGAACATCCTTACTCTGTCCGTCAATAAATAAATCTCGGATGCAGCCCACGTAGCCATAGTTGAGCAGTGCTGTCCACACCTCAGTAGGGAACACTAGCCCCATTTTGTTCTCTGGCAGACCCCCAAGGTAGAGATTGTCATCCAAGTCCAGGATCTCACTTTCCCCAGGGGCCGTATAAGCAGTGCGAAGAGTATTGATGGAGATAGTACCTAAAAATAAATAACACAAAGTTAAATAAAAAAGTCCAACAAATATTATTTTGTTTTCTTTTTTCCCTACTCTGACATTGTTTAACTACATTGTTACCTAATTGCCGAAACACTTCATAAGGCCTGTGGAAAATAGAAACAAGCAAATAAAATGTGTTTTAAAACAGGCTTTGATGAAAAAATTAGTCTAATTGGGGTTATACATCTGAACAGGGTCAGGACTTTCTTCATTTAGAATGACTGATGACTGTTGATAAGACTTATTAATCACAGGGCAGCTAGTCAATTAGAAACCTAATCTGGGATCCCTAAGAGCATCCTCTCCATTTTCCATGGATTTCCCCCAATAAATCTTCTTTATCTATAAAGCAGTGGTCATAAAAAGAAAGGTAAGGAAAAGAAAAATCATTGCCCTCTTTATCATTGCAGACACCCTCTTCCACCAGCCCACCATGAGAAAAAAAAGCCTAAATCCAAACCATCTTTTTGAACTTGATTAACGGTCTGCAGGCTGTGTTTTTTCACCCTGTCTCTCCTTCTTTTTGCCTCTTCAACACATAAACCTGCGATGGGAGTTGGTGTGTTTCCCCACCGTGATTTATCACTCTCATTCAGCTTTAATTCTCGATCTGGAGCACGGTAAACAACAGCGGACATGACTGGACTGTAAAGCTTTGTAAAAGGAAGGCCTTACTGTGGGACTCYGACTGGGTGATTAATTTGTATATGGATCTGTCACTCTCTGCGCAYGAGCCATTGTGGACTTTAATTAATGGTGGCTGCCTGCACTGCTCGCATCCTCATTGAGTAATCTATAAACTGCGCCGCCGAGGATCCGCGCAGGCAGCGGCAGGAGGAAAACTAGGGTAAGGATGCTCCGAAACACAATTGCCGTAAAGTCATAATTTACATTTTGAGTGGCAGATGCATGCCGTGGCAGATATGACAGAGTTATTAGCTGACTGCTTCGGGCTAAATGGCAAGACTCAAAACTGCGAGTATGTGTGATAGGACTATGGCTTTTAAGTGACTTTTTGAGTCAAAGTGTTTATGTTTGGAAACAAGCCCTGAGCCATGCATGAATTTTCAGCAGGGCTGCGTGGATTATTTTAGAGACAAATTAGACATTAAATGGGGCATTTCACATTTCATTACAGCTACCATTAGGGTGCATGAATGTAAAAATCAAAATTAASTATACATATAATAAATACCAGATTTTTTTTTAAATATTAACAATTTCCTTCATGTTTGTGATTTATCTTATTCACTTTAATGTACAGATAAACAGAAAAAAGGATAGCTATTAATTCCATTTGTGTGTGTTCTTCAAAGCCGAGGTGAGTCAGCCTTTCTGCAAAAGTGCATCAGAGAGGCAGCTAAGGACCAAGTGCACAATGATTAACCTGGTGCACAGTAACATGTTCCAGCTCTCTTCTTGGGGTCTTGGCCCCAGGCATCTGTTCCAGCACTTTCCCGCCGTCACCCACTGCCCCTGCTCTCGCCGGCACCAACTGTTGAGACTTCCAAGCTTTGCGCACTTGGCATGGGCCACCCGTCACGCAGCCAGAACAGCTCCCTTCAGGTTATAGCTAACGAGCTCACTACATCAAACTCATTAGTGAGAAAACTTTTCTGAAAGTAAAGCAGGTGCCCAGGAAAAAGAATGAACATCAGTCTGGTCAGGGTGAATTGTGAGAGAAGTATCAATTTTGACAGATCCCACCCTGCAGCAGTGAGACCTGGTTTGGACTGGCAATGATGTGAATAATGCATTCACAAAGAAAGCATTGAGGGGGCCATCATCAAAATATAGCCCCTTTAAATGATTTTGTTTCTATTCTTAACCTGTTTAATCCCACTGGCAACAACTGTTGCCAGACATTTTGTTTTACTTCTGGAAGCTCTAAAAGTGTTATTTTGGCTTTGGGCAGCTATTTTAAGTTTTACAACAAAATAGTAGGCTGTCTACTCTTAGCTTTATCAATTTCATGTAGTTAATGTGAATGGTCACATGACCACACCCCTTGACCCCCTGCCTGCCCTGCTGGAGGGAAATGTCTGAAACTGGTACAAAAGGGAGTAAATAAAATATCTTAATAAACACAAATAATTGAAATATTTTGTACATATATTCTTTAAAGAGTCTTTTGCTGAGATATATTCTATGTCTAGAATATATGTCTATGTATGTGTTATACCAGCGGCAACTTGCCACTAGTATAACACATAGATATATATTTTATGTCTAGAAAACATGCTAGCTGTCAAAGGTTTGACTGTTTATTTTATTTATCTTATAGGGTTTTTTCCACTCATCTTAAAACCATTAGATGTTTTAGACCTTTTAGACCTGAAAGAACCCCTAAATGATGTGTGCTACAGCAAGGGGTCCCAAACTTTTCCATGCCATAGCCCCCCGGACAGAGTAAGCGTTTGGCTGGGGTGCCCCTTTGCAAACCTGCAAACAATGCTACAAAATATGTAAAATGTTAAAATGTTTTTAAGTCACTTTTTATAAGTATTATACTGTATTTGTTTAGCATTCAAATTTTATTAACTAAAACGTGTTAAACACTATTATAATCCCACTCAATAAACAGCTGTTGACAATAATAACAGAACAAAAAGAATCAAATGCCCTCCTAAATAACATTTCAATATAGTTTTATAAATTACATTTTCAAAGAATGATTGAAAAACAGATTCAATTTCATGCTAATAAAAAAATATTTAATAGGTTTAAATTTTAGGTTTTTGCCTTTTTCCCAATTATCATCCCCTCCAGCTTTCTGAAGACCCCATAATGCTCCCTGGCGACCCCCCAGGGGGCCGTGACCCCCACTTTGAAAAACACTGTGCTACATCACAGTCATTCCTACTGTTGAACTTGTACCCATGCCTTGTTAGAACATGTTTTGCAGGTTACTGTTGTTTATATTTTTCATGTGTGTAATAGGTCAGAATAAATGATTTGTGTCAATATAGACTACACTCCCACCGACGACAATTGTTGCCGAGTACAAAACCTATATTTTCACTAACACAATTAACACAAAATGAAAAAAAAAATCATTAATATTATGTGTTAGGGAGGTCTAAGGAATGAAATGCATGCAGCTATTTTGCAGAGAAAATTTTGGGATTAAATGGGTATAGGTCTTATTGCAGTCATCAAAAGCAAACAGGGATACTTTAAATCAACAAGCGTGTCTGTCTGGATAGATGCAAGTGGAAGACGAGAGAAGGATGAGACATCTAAGGCATCCACTCAGACTGCTCTGCTCACTTGTCAAAGTCCTGTTAGGAAGTGTTTAAACACTGTCAAACTATGTTAAATCAGAAAGCAGAACACAATCCCTTGGGGATGTGAACCATTGTGAAGTTTCAAGCAAGGGAAACAACACATATGCAGACAATGCAGTGGAGCCAATTTTTGGAACATCTTCCTTGTCTTAAGGGGAAAAGAAACGGATTTGCCATTGCAAATGCAAAACATTAGCATAAAAAAGAAAGAAGAAGTAAAGAAAATGAGAATGAAGCAAAACATTTGACTGAAAAAGGTTGAGAGAGGTTTCAGTGATGAGATATAAGAAGGATATACTGAAAATGCTGTGAAGGGGAATCATGACAGTGAAGAGAAAAAAACAAATTGGGACAATCAGCAGTTCAACCACATCTCTGTCTCTGCTTTTCTTTCCACATAAGCTGACCAATAAGGAGCGATCTATTGTTAAAAGWGAACACAGGGGTCAAAATGACAGCTCGGATTGCTCGCACACTTTCTGCATCASCAGCTCGGCTCAACTTGGCATGATTTCCCCCTAACCCCACTCACACATCCCCAAAACATGTTAGGCAGGGGATTACTGCAATCCAGTTAGGGCAATAGGGCCAAATCTCTGTATGTGATTGGATTCTCTGTAGAAAGAGAAGCTGGTGAGCTGGCCGTGACGATGGGGAATGTGTTGCCTACATGTCTGCACATCCACGTGCCCGTTTCCTCCATGCTTGCTTTTGAAGTAGTGGCGCATGTGCCCTCTTAGGAATGTCCATGCAATGTCCCTGATMAGTGACCTGCAGCAGTCCCAGCCTAGAAACCCTCACTTAAAAGCATAGTGTCTCCTAGCGTCTCTAATGCGTTGAGGTTTGAAGATGCTTTCTGAGAGCGAGAGTCCATTTGCCGGCATGTTTCCCGCCGGAASAACCGACAAAACTAAATAGGGCAGGGATCATTATCCGCCGTTGTCACAGCTGCAGGAAGAGTTACTCATGGAAGACCAGGCTGTAGATAATTATGTCTGGCTGTTGTGTTGCATTTTTGTTACGAGTGATGTGCTTGGTGGTGTGTATTAATAAAACATCTGACACGCAGATGAAAAGCTGTGAGTGCCATATGTTTTGTGACTTATGCTCTCAGGGGACTTGCAAATTTGTTTCTTTTTACTTAGAAAATTCCTAAATAAATTAAATATTATTGAGTGAAAAGATAGTCACTGAGCTTCAGACCATTAGAAATGGTCCTGGACATTGGTTTTAATGCACATGTAGATTTATGAAGCTTTAAACGTTTTTTTTTTATTATTTTTTATTACAAGTTAATTTTTGCTCTCAATTTACATGAAATTATTGTTCAAAGAAAACAAAAATGTATGAATCTCTATTCAGGTAAAAAAAGAAAAAGTTTTAATAAGTTAGACACATTCTGTTTCATGCATTACATTACCTTTTTTTGTTTTGTTTTTGTTATTTGAGGATTAGTCTTGTTTAAATTAATTTTTTCCAAGGAAAGGGGCAGATATTATAGAGTTTTTCTTCTGCTAACTTTCATTTATAATTTGTATTTTTATTGTATATAGAAAACATGTTTTTTTAAGAAATGAATGAAATAAACTACTACTAATACATTCCATAACAGGGGTGTCAAAATCATTTTCATCAAGGGCCACATGAGCGTTATGGTGGCCCTCGAAGGGCCAGTTGTGATCAGATTCAAAGATTCATGTTTAACTTTGACTAAACCGTGTTTTAACACATCCTCTTTTAAACACTGATAAGAACTAAGTGTARGACTGACRAAATCTGAAATAAATACAGAAAAATTAAAAGTAAAACTAATAAAGTTTTACTCACTGATTAGTTTGTATGCAGTAGCTGCATTATGGCAGATTTAGTTTATGGTTGATGTTGACTTTAAGGCAGCTTATTTTCATTGCTATCCAACTAAATTGCTCAGTTACTTAAAGCCAAGAGCTCAGTGGCAAGACAATTGTTATTATCTTTCACCTTTTAAATATATTTTGGTGCATTTAATCATAAAATTAAAGTTTATCATTGAAATAAGAAATAATTGCAACTTTTTTACATGTTTTCGTACTTATTTATACTTTGGAAGTCATAGGAGACCTATTTTTATGTCCTCTTTACACTCTAGTGCATAAGTATTGATGTCATAGACTTGAGGATAGGAGGAAAAGTTACTTCAAAATGTCATTAGCACACTGCTCAGCACAGCACTGTGCAGTCTTGGTTTTAGGAGAGACCACCTCTTGTTTCCATGGAAACTTGGGCAGGGTAGACAGAGAGAGATTGGCGAGTAGAGAGAACCCGGCGAGAGAGCTTGAGGTGGTGTGTGCATGTGAGTAAGTTTGTGTGGGTGGGTGACAGGAGTACACTATATTGAACAATTTAGCTGGACTGTCCCTTCTATAGTTTGGTCTACTGGACTAAATCTTGCAGATTTATGTTATACGAGACTTCAACAACAGTTTAGTGAAAATCGAAAAGAAAAAAATAAGTAGGTCCTCTGGATGGGTTCTTCTTTAGTGAAACGTTTCATCTCTCCTCCAAGAGACTTCTTCAGTCTGATGAGTTTCAGGTGAACTCAGCCTTCTAAGCACTGCCTCCACATGGACAAACGGGTTAGTCACATGCAAGAGAGGGCCATCGCCTAACAATAGGATTGATTAGCTCTATTGTTCATAGAGGTGACAAGGGAACAGTACCCCACTTGCACTCACTGCATACACATAACAAAACACCAAATAACCACACCCGAAGCATCCAAAAACATAAGTCAGGTGATGGGGCACATGACCCTCTATGAACAATTGAGCTAATCAAGCTTACTGTTAGGCGATGGCCCTCTTTTGCATGTGTCTAAATAGAGTTAATCAAGCCTATTGTTAGGCGATGGCCCTCTTTTGCATGCGACTAACCTGTTTGTCCACCATGTGGAGGCAGTGCTTATAAGGCTGAGTTKCCCTGAAACTCATAAGTCTCTTGGAGGAGAGACAAAACATTTCACTAAAGAAGAACCCATCCAGAGGACCTACTTATTTTTTTCTTTTTGATATTTTTCTAACTGGATTACTGAGATGCATCAGGACAGTTTAGTGAAAACCACTCGGTACTGTATCATAAAACGCTGTAAAATTTACCTGATCTTCCGTCTCGCTGGAAGTCCACATGGTACCATTCACCATCATTGACTTTCTTGTTGACTGCCCTGGTCTTTGTCGTTCCTGAGCCCATGTCTAGCAGCAGGTACAGATGGCCATCCAGCATTTCAATGGCAAAGAAATCCACCTTAAGAGTTTGGGGCGTCTTGGAATCCTTTGGTTGTTGTTTGGGTTTGCCGTGGCTGAAGAGAAGAAGGCCATTGGGCTCAGTGGTGCGGAAGTCAAACGAGATGGAGCCTGTCTTCTTAGCATTCCATTTGTTGAGGATTATAAACGATTCAGGTGTCTCGAACGTGATGGGGTCCAGAGTTGCTACGTTCTCACACTTGAAGGCAACGGTTCCGTGGATCTTCATCTTGGGATCACCCAACTTTGCCAGTCTGGACAACTCGAGTCTCACATCATTGTTTTTATAAACAACCTGAAATGTATGTAGAAGCTGAAAGTTAAATTTCCATAGTTCAGCCATACATTTAAACAAAAGAAATAAACAAAACTAAACATCTTGCAGCATGTACTGCAAATYTTTCATGAAATGTTACAAGTAACCAGCAGTTGTCCAGGTAACATGTAATCCCCGAGGAAAGTGTGTCATGAGCAAGGTTTGTATGCCTCAAGCACTAGTCAAGCTGCACCTACATGGCACCAAATGTCACTTGTTTCCCTGCTATCTTTGGTCCCTGTCTGGAGTCGTTACTACAAGTGTCCAGTGCACTCTGGCAGGGTATTTTCACTTTTTTTTGAAGCATCAGTATCAACAAAAGAAATAACATTTTGAGTCAATGAGAGCTGTGTGAGGGAAGTAATGATTCTAAGCTTGAGTATAAATTGCAGGTGGTGCATATAAAGCTGATTAGGGCTTCAGTTGGAGCCTGTGATTATAATAAAAGTGGGCAGATGATGTACCTGTTTAAAACAGAGCTTACTCTTTCACTCTGCAGTATTCAGRATGTGCAAATTAGAGCATTGATAAACGAATAAACCAGTTTTTATTTGATTTGATTCAAACAAAATGAAGTGGATTGAACCTGTGACCTCTGAACTGCTATTGAGGGTGGTTGGAGCAGGAAAAATAAATCCATCACTGTTTATGCTTTCATAAAGCTCATTGTGTTTGAAGAGTGCCTTAAGAGACAAATGACGTTCCATACTATATATCGGGAAAAAAATATTCCAATCAAATTTTATAAATGGATCCTGAACGCGTTACTAAAAAACTAAAGGTCATTATAGTTTGTGTGGTAACGCGTCCAACTGCACGTTGCATGTGTGACTGTAATTGGCAAGTTTCAGAAACAAACTGAAGCAGCCATAACCTTATCATCATCCAGTTTTTATAATGACAGGCTATCTGCTGCAYTTGTGTAGCTGCAATGCAAGGATTCGTCTATCTCACCATTTCCAATTTCCATTTGAGAAACTAATTAGCATTTAGGCAAATGTCAAAATCTTTAATTAAAACATGGGTGTGCCTGTTATACTTTCACTCCAGAAATTCTGACACATCTGTGTTGAAGTAAATGGTGCCAGTCAGTTTGCTGAATAAATCAAACCTGATAATTCTAATACTTAAAGTGTTTTAATGGTACATGTAAGTAAAARACTGTATGTTTCAATGTAAAATAAAAATAATTAAATAAATACATAATTAAAGGGCCAGCTATTAAAATCTGCTGTCCTGCTAAGCATTTGCCTGGAATTTGGGACACGGCCAGTGGGATTGCAATATGAGCATTTTGTTCACCATGAGTCAGGTCTGGAGAGTTTAACAGTTCAGGTGGATCAAGTGTAGAGAGGTGCACCAAAATCAGCTGTGTCCTGGCTTAGTTTTTCATGAAACTATGACTTAATGGATCTATTTGCATTAAATATTCACAAAAAAATTAGAAAACAGTGCAAGGTCTCTGTTCCCATTGTTTTACATGACTAAAAGATTCCATGAATAAATAAATAGAATGGGGAACAAAAGGCCAATTCACCAAAACAAAATAAATCTACTGTCTAAAGGAAAGATTGCAGAAAGAAATAAAGGGCTGAAGGATAACATATCTGGCAGCTGGGCTTAAGTCATGCAGACCAAGATGGAACAGATACCGCCAATAAACCTAAATCATTTTTTATAGTCAAGACAAAGGGCACCTTTCAGTGTTAAAGAAGCTTTGGTTTCAGCTACGCCTTGCTCTGCACTAGTAGTGCTGCACTAATTTGTCATCAAACCAGGGTTGTGACAACTGAGCTATTACTGCACCACCGTTTGTTTTGCCATCAGAACCAACCGGCAGGCGTGGCGGCTCCGACTGGAGTCCACACGAACACTGCAACAAAGCCACTTGGGGACATGCCATCAATCAGGGCCCGCTGCACATGCTGTTAAACTACAGCTCATATTCTATCACGACATACTCAGCAGCTGACCTGCGATGGGGCACCTGTATATTTCCACAGCACTGGCTGACGTGARGCACAAAGCTCGTCAGCGTAGTAAAAAAAAGCGTGGAATAAATCAAACTGGGTCTTCTTTAGAAAAGTAAATTTGGCCTCTAATGAAGCGAGGATTGCACCCTCTGCTGACTGCAGGGTCTCAGGTCAAAACTCAGAAGTCACAGGGTTTGAAAACTACTGAAAACCACCGAAAGCCATAAAAAAACATGTGTAAGGGGCCTACGAGGACCAAAAACCAGTAAGAATCACCAAAAACCATCAAAAAGTATGTGAAAGGGGCATAGGAGAGACTTTTTTRCTTGATTTGGATAAATCTACCTATGTGCAAAATTTCAGCTCTCTAAGACTTACCAGTTCCTCTATCTCACGTTAGGTGGCACTGTCTTCCAGTTTTAGTGTTTTAAGTATGAACGTAACAATTATATATTATTATATATTAAGTATTGTTTTTTGGTCTTCCAAAGTTTTTATATCCCCAATTTTAAGACCTGGTAAGAAACAAGTCATTTTTGATTCTGTCTTTATAAAATATTCCCTTGAATATAGGAAAATAAGAAGTAGTAAAACATTGTCATGTCCTCAGTCMCTCTTTTTGGTACGTTTCATCACTATGAAATGTTTTGTTTGTGCGTACACAGATTTTCTAACCTATCTAGGCAAGATGTGATATTTGGGTGCATTTTGTGACAGATCTAAGGCTTCCCCTTGTACATAAATRATATTCAAAAACTCTGATCATGTACTCAGAAAACTGATGGAGTGTTGGCTAAAGTGTAGAAGAGGTAAAATAAAGGAGGTGGTAGTCTGTTCCTTCTAGTCTGGATCCTTCTGAGCAATAAACTGATTGGGTGCCACCATCGGCAGCAGCCTCTGGCTCTTGTTCCAGTCCCAACAATGAATGCCAACTGATGAGACATTCAGCTCAGTACAATTAAAAATGTGAGATAGTTTTAATAGCTACTAATTTAATAGGAATCTGTTTAAATATTTTGGGMTTTTTATTATTTAATCTCTTCTTTGTCTCTCACTCAAAGATTCTTGCATGCTAACACTTAGCACCATTAATTTTGAACAATGCATTTTCATATTCTTAGCAAAATGCCATGCAKTTTTTAAATAGTAAGTAAATAGTTATTTGATGTTGGGCTTTGTTGTGTTGACATTTATTGTGTACAACTCAGTCTGCAACTGAAAATATAGATGGAGGACCCCAATTTAGCTTGTTTGTCACGCCAGCACCAAGCTAATACATATAAGACAATATAGTGTCGGCGCTAAAGCTAACAGGCTAAGCTGGGGTTCTTCTTCCATGAAGCAGCTCTGTTGTCCTCCATCCAGTCGTTTCTACCTTCTCCTCTCTGTCAACGCTCTCTGGCTTCATAAAAAAAAGCCGATCGTCAGATATTGTCCAAGATTAACCTTCAGGGTGGATATAGCTGCTCGCAGCCTCGCACCGAGGACCCATCGACGTCTTCATTTACCCAGAATGCTTTGTGTGTAAATAAAATCGCTCCGTCCATGTTCAAATATTTTTTAAAAAATTTACAAAACTGAACAGCTGTAGGCTGTTCAGTTTTGTAAATTTAAAGTTCAGTTAAAATATATGTTTAAAGTTCAGTTAAAATATATGTTTATCAAATAAAGTTTAATGTTACAACTAATTGTGGATCCTTTTAAAGTCTATTTTACTCTGTAATGTATCAACACTGGAGTACCAATGCCATCGTTGGTTGTCACAGCAACATTATTAAGGCTATTAAGACGTTGCGACCTAAACGTTATCACTGGGTGACTTGTGTTGTCACCACATCTGCGGCACTCCAGAGAAATGTATCCAACTAAAGCGTACTTCTTAACAAGACTTCTAACAAGTTAAATGTGGCAGGAGAATGTGTGGCCCACACTGTTCTGCTCATTAAACAGAACTGCCTCAGAACTCCCCAAGATGTAATTAAGGATGACAGTCAAAGGTTGAGGTAAGATGCAATGTGTTGGTCACCAAAAAAGTAAAATAAAAACCAAGCATGAAATAAAAGGGATTTTTTAAAAATGCAGTAAATTAAGGGATCATTTTGGATTACATTGAAAATAATTTTAGAATGTTGCCTAGTGGCTGTAAATGTGTTTCTTGAGCACTKCAACAAATAATAAGACTTCTTCTAAATTATGTCCATCATCTGGTAAAATACGTAATTGCTGTCTGTATTTGCAGCCCAGGTGCCTCATGCCCAGCACTCTGAATTTATAATTTTGCAAACTGCATGCTAACGACATCAAACGTATATCATTAAAGGTAGCCTCGAGTGTTCTRGCATCGTATGAGTCTGCAACAGTCTTGTATGATTTCAGTATTCCTCTGCATTGGTACGTGTTCGAGGGTTTCAGTTTTTTTCAAGCGCTCATGATAATTCAACTCCCTGATCTCTGGATCGCTGCTCTTCTTTGATGTTGCACCTGACGGAGCTGTGGATGAACAGTGCTAAATTCCACTTCAAGGCAGAGCTGTGTGTTTGAATGGTGTTTATGTATGTGTTAAACATCATTTGTACAAAGAAGAAGAAGCAAACACATATAGGAGGTATAGAAGGAAAAAAAAGTTTGTTTTATAGCATGAGGAGGACGGGAGGAGAAACAAACAAAAGTAGAATGTTCTGGAAGAGACAAAGGTCAGCGTGTGGGTGGGAGAGTGTTCTAGTGTCTTTAGGTGAAGCAAGCTGAGTCCCATACACCCACTAGTCRAAGGGTTCACACAGAAGAAGTGTTTACCTCCTTGAGGCAACCCATGAAGTTGTTGCTAACAGGAGATCCAGGCAGGTCGGCGGTGCTAGGGCTCCCTCCAACGTAGAAAAAGTCATCCGAGCCCAGCATGGTGTAGTCCTCCTGCGTGTATCCGGTGGTGGTCAGAATCCCATCCACAGATATCGTTACCTAAACAACAAAACACAGGGAAAAGGACACACTATACTGAAACAGCCTACACACTTTACTGTTATTGCCCTTTCTTTCTTTTTGACCGTGATATACTTCCATATTATGTTTATATTTCCCAAACCCATTTTCATGTCTGGTTTATTGTCTTTTTTCTTGTTTATTATTATTTTGACCAMTTTGATTAGTTCAGTGGAGAGCTATTCTAATGACGTTAGTAAAACTGCCCATACTACAGTGTTAGTATCGTCTCAACTGCAACTTAAAAGTAATTTAGCAGACACAAAAATGGTGTTAGTAAAGTGTTACTCAAGTTAGTTTAACTATTATTTCAAAATAGTACATTCAGTTCTACAAAATAAATCACAACGTGCCACTAGTTAGAAAGGGAGCACATGCTATAGGAAGCACAAGTATAAGATAATGATTCAGGGTACTGTAAAATACAACATGCAAGTATTTGTCTTTTCTTTTCATTTATAAGAAATCAAAAATATGTCTTCCCAAATTTTGGATTGGGACACAGAGTCAGTGTTTCCAGTGTCACATACATGCAAAGGCTCTTGGATAATTTGATGGACACTGAACAAGCGTGCACACAAAATAAAAGCCACTAGAAAAGAAATGACAAACACAGCCCAACTGTCAGAACACCCATGTTGGCAAATGGAGAGTTTGGCATATGAAACATGTGGGACAAACAGCATGCCATGCGACGTGGATGAGGAAACAACTGGCTGAGCCATATAGAGCATCAGACCAGCCAGACAGGAGAGCGTCCTCATTATTAACCACAGCTTGATGCAAAAGGCTRGAAATGATGCTCCTGAAAAGGTGGATCAAACAGAATTGGACAGAAAACAAATGAAATAAGGGGTGAAACCAATGAACGGACCAAGAAATAAATAAATAAAAATAATTCAAAAAGTAAGCAGAAGAGTACCAACCGCAGTTTCCCTTATTTTGTAAATGACGTCTACAGTAAAAAAAAGGAAAGAAAAGAAACACACGGCAAACCCAAACTAAGAAACAATTAGAATGATATCTACCGAACAATGTAGTTTGTTTACCATAGCGTGTCCAATGCCTGAGTGCTTTGTGGAAAAGGGGGGAGAAAGGAAATTAAAAACTGTGAACAGAATAACGATTGTTACTCAAATAATATATGATGGTCAATACTGTTAGTACACTGTTAAACAGCAAAAAATAATAATAAAATTAAAAAATAAAAAAAACATACTGGTTAGTAGAATGGTACATTCCATGAATGATGTTAGTTTGTTTTCAAAGCATGTTAGTAACATAGAGTAAAGAAAGGGCAAAATAAGTTTAACAAGAAAAAAGCAGACCAAGYAAAATAACAAGAATCCTCCACAAACGGAGCTAGAGCTCAACCAGTGACTCCCCGAGTTCCTCGTGCGATTTTTGCACCATTTTCTGTGTGTGCCAAGACAGCTGTATAGGTGGCAGGAAAAAACTGCTCATTAAAGAAAGTTTATGACTGACAGACACCAAATGGTTTGTTAAAAAAAGAATGCCTAAAGCACATCATTGACCCTCTTTTGAACTCCCCCAAGTTTGAGAATATAGCAGTGTTTTGTTTCAAATATTTATTTTTTCATTTAATCTTAAGCATTTTGCCAATCCACTGCACCCGACTTTCTGGCACTCATACAATACTTTACCTCTTATTTGGTCTTACTGATGAACTTTAGGATCACTTTACTGCAATGAGACAAAGCAAAGAGGACCTGACAAAGAAATGAGGAGGATGGTAATTTGGATCCCCCCCACAAAGCATGCACTCAATATGCTTTTTATTTTTTATTTTTTAATTTTTTTACGTTTTGAATGCAGTGAGTGCTCGTGCTGGACAAATTCTTGCCAATAAACAGTTTTGGTAATATCTTTTGTTCTGAGGTGAAGATAAACATTTCCAAGCATTTGAGCAGGAACAAATCTACAGGGTTTGACTCTGTTTTCCTGTAAAATATTCTAGTAAATAAATGGGAATAAAACTCAGGGGTGAACAATTGAACCAGAGCTATGGCATTTAAATTTAAAACTGTTAAGATGTCTATTGTTGTTAGAATATCCAAATTAAACCTATACTGTATTTTCTTTTCCATTTGCAACTATGCTACAGTAACACATTCTCACGCCTGACTCGTCAACATATTGACGCTTTTCCAAGGTTCCCTCTGTGTCTTATTTTGATGCGTCAAGTGACCCCCTCGCGTCAGTCCTTGCCGCCAGCGGCTTTTTCAGGTTGCGCCACCAGGGGTCTTTGGGTCGGGGGTCTAAGGTTAATATGAGGGATCAGGATTAATGGTTAATTTTAGGTACTGGGGTCAGGGATAGGATGTCAAGGGCGAATATTAGGTAATTTTAGGTTTTGGAACACGTGGTTCACGTGAATTTCCTACAATTTCTAAAAAATGGTTAATTTTAGGTGAAGAAATTTATAGTTGTTACAGATTAGTACTGATGTTAGAAGCACAACACTAGATTATTAGGGTTTCCTTTTTATAATGGTTGATCTATTATTAATCTATTATGTGTTAATTGAAATAGAGTAGTTACATGTCCGAATCATAAACAACACATAAGTGAACRGTTATGATAACATTAGGTTGAGATTTCTGGATGAATGCCTGTGACTCAGCCGTAGYTCAGTAGGGGGAGACCTCAGGCATTGAAGAATCGTATAAAAAGATGTACTTCCTGGCTTTTGGCAAGTGTGGTTTTCCTTGTCAGCCGGTGACAATTAAACCTCACTCGGTTTTCAGAATTCTGGTGTTGTATGATTTTATTCCTACCACAAATCATTTTATTTTACAATGGTGTTTTCATCTTGATTTCAGTCGTATTGAACACGTATTTTTCTTACATAGGTATCAGGGTTAATGGTTAATTTTAGGTACTAGGGTCAGGGACAGGATGTCTAAAGTGAGCAAAGATAATTTTAGACTTTGGGACAGTAGTTTTTGTGCATTTTCTACACTTTCTGAAATTATGACAACAGATTCCGCCCATCTCGTCAAAAACTGATGCAAGGGGGGTACCTGACGTGTCAAAATCGGARGCAGAGGGAACCTTGGAAAAGCGTCAATATGTGACGACTTGGGAGCTTCACATGCAAGTTTTCTTTAAAACTAAACTTTTATAAGTATGCTCTTGCTTCATAGTTCTGTAAGGCTAAACCATTAATTGGAAACAATGATAACAACAGCTGCTTAGTATATTTGTAGTTTGGGGACCAATGTGTTTGTCACACACGACTGGTATAGTCCCTGAAATAATTTGTGGGTGGATTTTAATTTCACCTATAGTTCAATAAATTGTTTTGAAAGGTCTTTTAATTATAGCAGTACAATGCAATGTACCTTTTTTACATTTATTTCTTAAAACATAATTTAATTAAGATCTTGTTTCAATGATGCCCCTGCTCTTTTATGGTGCTGTTTAAGTCTTCACCCTGAACCACCATGACTCAATTTAGCAAACCAATTACATCTTGGGGAAAAAATGTATTGTATGACTGTAATGATTTAGGAGCATTTGTTTAATTAATTTAGAGAGTCTGTTCATCACCATTTGTACTGTTACCTGACGTAGATTCCTTGTTACTTTGACATCATGCCAATCATTGTCATTAAATTTCCCATTGACCGGCTCCACAAGAGCTTCAAAGGCGCCAGACCCCAAATTAATGACGAGTGASACGGCCCCATTTTTCAGGGCCAGGTTGACGTAATCAGCAGATTTGCCCGTGTGCAGCATTAGTCCGTTCCTCTGAAGGGTTTTAAAAGACAACGTGATTTCATCACTGCTGCTTTGAATTGGGTTCAAGGACAAGTCGTAGCAGAAGAACTCGGATCCTTTGAAGGTTGCAACATACTCTTCTTTTCCTGCGGAGACAAGAGAAAGAGAAATGTCTTCCGTTAATGATGGTGGCCTCTTGGGAGGGCCATATTGGCGAGATGTCTTAAAATGGAAAGAAAGCCTTGAATTGTTGGTCTAATAAACATACTGAAATTGAAGAGCTGAGGCCTGTGCTACAAAGCAGGATTAGTGTCTTAGTGAGGTAGCATTAAGTTCAACTCAAGATTTTCTGTAAAGCATCTTTTCTGAATAGGGTGTACCACTGTAGCAGCTTAGACTAATCAAATTCATTGGACAACTAAAGCACCTTTATATTATATACATAAACAATCACAGAAAAATAAATGAGACTTTACGCTTGTTTAAAATGAGTTGTTTCAGTTTTTAGGAAAATGTATTAAACCTTTATTTTGAAAGAAAATGGTTGAACCATTTTGTGGCGCACCTACAGAAAACCTAAAAATATAACCAATTTTACATTTTTTGTGCTTTTGTGTGTGAACATGTATACTGACACACATTTACAGCTTCAGCACTCTTGATTGTGATTGGTCACATAATGCCAAATTACTTGAAATTACACATGATGTCAAAACACTGAGTTGAGTCACTGTGCCTGCTTTATGCTATAGACACTTTGAAARTTAATGAAAAAAACATGAAGATGTATGTTAATAAACTAAATGGCTGATGTGTATCTGCATCAACATTTTAATGAAGCCTTAATAAACTCACACTCATTGATAACTTTACCGTTGTTACAGCTGCAACAGATTAACCAGAGAGCAAACAAAGATTCTCTGATTTGTATGTAGATGAGCGTCACCTTCTTTGATGATATCTGATTTGGTAGAAATGTTTTAAGCTCTTTGACAAGTTTTCAACCACCAAGGCATTCACATAAGAAATCCTACTCTTTCCTCTTTCCTCATGCCCAGAAGCCTCACGGCAGGAAGGTCAAAGGTTCACAACCTGGCTGGTGACTTTCTGTGTGGAGTTTACTGTATTCTTTCCACGTGTACATGGGTTTTATCCAGTTACACTAGTTTTCTCTCACAAACCAAAACCAACAGAATTTGTGATAACAATAATGACACATCCAAAAATCGGAATCATAAAAAGAGTAAGCGTCAAAGCTAATTAAAAATGATGGCATCATGTTCATGGGTCATGACATTGTGTGATTGCTAACACACATTAGTCACCACAACCTTTTTAATGGAAACTGAGGTTGGCTGGTTTCTTGAAATGTTCACATTAGTAAACCCTGAAAATATTTTGTTGAATATACGAAGCACAAATAATCAAGCACAATCAAATAAATATTCAGGGTGCAGTGGTAGCGAAGGGCTAAGCCAGAAGCAAGCCCATTAATCAAATTCTGGTAAGGGCCCCACACAACCTTGGGCTGGTTTTAACACTCCTTGTACACACAACTGATTGTTTATTGCTATACTGTACTGTATATATA